AACAGTTTCTAAACTGAGATCCTGCCACACCAAATCCAGATTTCATCATCTGGCAAAGACAAGATCATCTCCTTGCATCTTGGATCTTATCATCTCTTGGAGTCAGCATCCTTCCATTAATGGTCTGTCTCAACACATCTGAAGAAATTTGGACTGCTCTTCAAAAGAATTTTAGCAGCCAATCTCTTGCTAGGGTGATGCAGTACAAGATGGAAATCCAAGCTTTGAAAAAGGGATCCTTAAGTATGAAGGAGTACATTGGCAAAATGAAAGAGCTTTTTGATGCACTGGCATCTGCAGGTCATATGGTCTCTGAAAAGGACCAGATCATGCACCTCATTGGAGGCCTTGGTCAAGAGTACCGTTTGGTATATATTTGATGGGCAAGGGATAACCGAGTTACTCGACTCGGGTCGATCTCGAAGGAAGGCTATTCGGAGCTTTATCTACTAAATGATCGTCCAAATCACAAAAAGGGAAAATAAAATCCTAAACATTCTAAGCAATTGATTGGATGGTTGATTAACACTAATCGAGCACTTAAAAACGAGCAATTAATTAGAAGAAAGATCAAATGACGAGCAATTAGCAAACTAGATCACCGGAGTCTCATGCCATAACCATAACGGGATGATAATCAATCGACATACGGAATAAATGAGCTACGAGCATTAGATTGCTAACCCTAGTCGTCTAACCGAGATCAACGAGCAATTAACGACTCTATCTACTCAAGCAAGCAATCAAGCATAAGCATTTCCTCCATCATCAATCAAATCCAAATTTACCCTAATAAGCATTATAATTTATAAGTAAAAACGGAGCAAAAAACCGAAGTAAAGAGCTTTAAAACTAAATACTCATTCTTCCAATGCGTAGACGATGAAAAACGGAGTCAAAAGCTCGAAACTTGAAAGAAACCGAAGTCGCCGGAAAATCTCCCGGAAAATGACATAAGCTCCTAATCTAGAGAGCAAAATAAAACATAAGCTAATTTCCCAAAGTGGGAAAAGTGAAAAATAAAAGTTGGATCCCCAAAATACAAAGGAAAAAACATATTTATAGTCTTCTACAAAAACACACACTAGGTGCACACACATTTAAAAATTTAGCACTCGCTAGGTAGTGAACTAGTTCGGTAGGCGAACTGGTCTTGTAGTTGTGCACACTCGCTAGACGGCGAACTCATTCGCTATGCGGACTGGCCCTATGAGTCTTGTAAACACTCGCTATGCGGCGAATACGTTCGCTATGCGGACTGGCCCTATGAGTCTTGTGAACACTCGCTATGTGGCGAATACGTTCGCTAGGCGAACTAGACTTTCGGCACGGTAATGACTCGATAACGGCTCGGGCGACTCGGGCGACTCGATCGACTCGGTCGGCTTGGACGGCACATCACGAAATGATTCATCCTTCCGGGCCTACAAAACACCAAAACGCACAAGGAAGATAGAAATATATACAAAAACAACTAAAAAAACGGAAAGCTACTAAAACGAACACAAAATGGACCGGAACGCACAAACCGAACCTAAAAATACTCGACTCAAGCAAATAAAAACACAAGAAAAGCACACAAAAACATAACAAACAACTCCCCCACACTTAGCTTTTGGCTTGTCCTCAAGCAAACAAAATAACAAGTAGCTCGAAGAGATATATCGAACGGCCCAAAATTAACGAACATGCGAGATGAGACTCTCATTATCATCCGGTTATCCCAAAATCA